AAAAACAGAGGAAGCAATGCTTGTTGCTTTACTTTTAATAGCACAGGTTGTCATGCCAACTAGCGCTGCTGTTTAAATTGAAGGGGGAAGAAAGAAGTGTTCCTTCCTACACAAGCCTTTCAGCGAGGCTCACAATTAGTCTTTTAAAAACACGAAAACTCATCACACTGGAGATATGGTAAACATTGTGCTTATATTTAAACCTGTCAGAGTGAGGATGTGATAAACCTCTGGTTTGTATTTCCTTTGTACAGTGCTCCCTGCCCAGTATCTGGCTGCACTGTGTCCTACAAAGAAGAAAGGCATTTTGTGGGCATGCACCAAGGCAGCCCATCTCGGGACAGGAGAGGAGCCCTCCATCTGGAATAAACACAACTGATGAAAGACAGAGAGGACAGTTTTCTTGTGAGAGTGGCTCTGCTCCCCCAAAGGCACGGTTCCTGAAAGGCTGGGTGCTCACAAGGCTGCACGACACACTGATGTCAGTGATAGGAGGAGAGAAGATGACAAGACAAGTTAGGTGCTGTGGTGGAGGGACCCTGTCCTCTCCCCTGTCTGTGCAGGAGGGCGGAGGGGCCCAGCTCAACCCCGGAGGCGAGCTAGCCGGAGAGCATGCTGTGACTGATGCTGGCTGGGGACAAGAGAAGGCAGGAAAGTCTGAGGACTGCGGGGCGGGGGGATGTAAGGGGTCTTCTCCCACAAGAGCCTGGCCTTCGTTAACTTCTGTTTATAAAAGGTTCCAGCTGGCAGCAAGGAAGGTCTGTGCGGTGTCATGAAGGCAGGGAAGACCTGCTCACCAATAGGCTGAAGGGTGATGTGGCCAGATCCCATCAGCGAGGGGCAACAAGCAAGTCTGCACCAAGATGTGTGTGTGGGGGGGCTGATAGCCTGGCCCTGTGCTTTCTGTTCAGTGTCCCCTCTCACCTATCCTTCGTGAGAGTAAGCCCTTGGCTCCTGGCTCCTCAGGGCCTCATGCCCTCGTACCCCCATGGTCTTGAGGATGGAGGTGCCTCTCTGCCCTGAGACATTTTAATTCCTGCTAGCTTCTGAAGAGCCAATGCACGTACCAGTCATTCCTCCTCTCTCAAGGGTACCCCAACCCCAAATGCATCTGCAACTCACCAGTCTGTTCACCTGCAAGGAGCATGCCTTGCGCTAACCAGTCTTCTCTATTCCGTTGTCTTTTTGTGTCTTTCTGCTTGATCTCCCAAGCTAGACTGGAAGTTTCTGGAAGCCAAAAGACCTTTCTCTGTACCTTGTGTTGTTTCCTGTGCTCCTGGAAACTCCTGGGCCAGAGGGAGTGGGAAGAGTGCAGTAGCTGGGCTCTGTTCTGAGCACCTAACATAGTTTAGTGAATAGACCCCACGATTATCTGAGACAGGTATGATTATCATCCCCACTTTACAGAAGGAAAAACTGAGGCATAAAGGGTGATCCTTGCCAGGATCACACAATCTGTAAATGGCAGACCCAGAACCCAAACCCAAGCTCCCGGACACAAGGCCCGGGCCCTGGGACACAGCAGATGGCTACCCTGGCTTTGAGGGCTCATGAGACAGAGACGGGGTGTGTGGAGTGCCATCGGAGGGGAGAAAAATGAGTGGGAACACCTACAATATGACACATATCATACTATCCCATTGCTTGGAACTTACATAAGTGTACATGCTTCTATTCATAAAGAGCTACATGAAAAAATGGTCTCTACTAGGTCAATGGATGGACAATCTGCTCTCTCAGCAAGGTGGGACTCTAAGTGACTTTTATTTCCTTTTCCATACTTGTATGTATCGTTTGATTCTTCAAGGAGTCTGCAAGGTGCTGCGTATTGCAAAAAAAGGATAGCCGATGAAGTCACTTTCATTATGGGAAGAAAAGGAAAACGAAACAAAAGAAAAAGAAAAAAATAAAACAGGGGTAGGGGAATGGGAAAAGCCACAAAATGTTTCTGCACAGAAGGGTGGCATGCCACTCCTGTGCCTCGGAAAGATCGCTCTGGAGACAATGCGGGAAGCAGAGACAGAGACAGGCTGTGCTACCACGATGAACGACGTGACGATAATCACTCACACTTAGGGGCCCACAGAAGTAGGATCGGGAGTTTAAGATCCAGCTGCCCCCACAGCAGCACTACTCACCAGAGTCAAATGCCCACCAACAGATACATGGGTGAACAGACTGTGCTAGATCTAGATAATGGGACATCATTCCACCACAGAAGGAGTGAGGTTCTGATATGGGCCACAGCATGGATGACTTTGAAAACATGACGCTGAGTGAGAGAAGCCAGACACAAAAGGTCATTTACTGGATGGTTCTAGTTATAGGAAATACCCCAGACGGGTAAATCCATTGAGTCAGAAAGCAGATTGGTAGTAGACAGGGACTGGGGGAGGGGGATGGAGGACAGCTGCTTACTGGGGATGGATCTCCTTCTGGGGTGCTGAAAATGTTGTGGAATTCAACAGAGGTGATGCCTGCATAGCAGCAAATGTACTGAGCGCCACTGAATTGGACACTTTTAAGATGGTTACGTTTATGCTATAGGAATTTACCCCAATTAAAAAACAGTACAGTTAGCCCTTTGACCTGAAGCCTGAGAAAATGAAAGGGCAGACGAGAAGAGGAAAAGGAGAAGGAGAAGGGGAAAGAGGAGGAGGAGGAGGAGCAAGAAGAGGAAGAAGAAGAAGAAGAGGAAGAGGAAGAAGAAGAAGAAGAGGAAGAGGAAGAAGAAGATCATTCCAGCAAATGAAGGAAGCAGGACACTGGGGCCTGGGACTAGGGGAGAGATGGTCCAGCCAAGGGTGGCCCTTCCAAAACCAAGCACCCAGATGCCACTGCCTCCGGACACCTTCTCCTACAACGTCTGTTTTAGTTAAAAGATCTGAGACAAGATGAGCATCACATGTTTGGTGGGGGGAGCTCCAACTGCCAAACTAAGTAGAAAGAGCAAGAAAGGTTGAAGCCATGTATTCAAATGCTCTACTACTGGATGCAGACCCTGCGTGGAGGCCTCCCTAGTACCAGCCACACCAGACAGCAAGTGCCTGCTGCTTGGCTGCCTCCCCTGGGGCTGGAGGCTGCTCATGGGCAGGGAACATGCCTCACACAGGGATGTATCCCAGCCTAAATCACAGCCCCTGGCTCACATCCATGTGTTACAGAAATGCATGTCCTCCATTTTACATATCTTATCAGCTGATTTATAGTTTTAATAGGTAAAAACACAGATATGGTATAAAGTTCAAAAGCCTCCAAGGAATGTACGTGGTAAACTGCCCCTTCCCCTACTCTTGTACCCCACCACCTGTGAGGCAACCTCTGTCACTGTCCCCGTCGCTTTAAATGTGACCAGTGCAGAGAAGTTCTGAATTGCAAAAATTCCAGCAACCAGTCAGACTACCTAGTGATTCGGGCATCAGGTCATCCCAAGATGGAAGCCACATGTGATACAAAGATGAAAGTCACTGGAGTGAAAACAGGTCCCAGGATTCTGTGCTGGGAGGAGGCACATGCCAGGCTTGTAGAGGAATGCTGCTAAGGTGACAGCCGTCCCCCTAGAGTCATTCATGGCATGATGAGAAGTCCGCAGGCAGGGGCCATCAGGCCAGCCAAGCGTGCCAGCCACCTCAAGTTCCTCACACCTGTTTCTGACGTTGGCGAATTTCAAGCTGAGCAAAGGCCACGCTGCTACATGATGGGATGAAGGTAGGCATGCCAACCACCACCAACCTTGGCCCCAGAGAGATGCTTTCTTTAGTGGTTTGTCTGGGGGGAGAAAAGTTCCCCTGAGAAGAACTCAGCTGTGAGCTGGGTGGCACTGTCCCCAGAGGCGGACTCCATGGTGGCCAGAGCAGCTAGGAACTAAGTAGCTTGGAGGGGAGGGTCCTGGGAAATCGAAGCACTCACAGTGGAAAGAACGTGGGCAGAGTCCCAGGGGTGGGTCAGGTGTGGCAGCAACATCTGGACACACTGCTTTATGTAGCCGGCCTGCAAGGGGCTTTTTTGGAAGACTGAGTAACCACTGCCCTGTATAGTCACCAAACTGAAAACTAAAAAAAGACCCGAGCCACGCAGGCTCATCTGTCCTCCAAGGCTCCTGCCTCATGTGGCGATGCACCGGCAGGCGAGGGGGTGAGCCGGGCGCGCATCTGATTCCAGCCAATGTGTTACTATATTTCATTCCCTGTCCTCATGCCCAGGGACTGCTGCCATGTGGATAAATTTAGAAAGAAAAAAAGATAAATAACATGGAAAAGTCCATTTGAACAAAATGAATTGTTTTCTTTCTTTCTTTCTTTTTACACCGCTAAAGAAAAGGATAAACCGATCGTGTTACTTATTCAGCCCTGACCATGGTGGAATTTGGTATTCTGGGCAGTGGTTCAATAATGCATGACTGCAACCCAAGATGAACTAGCTTCTTCTGAAAATTGTAGAACAGTCAAGCTTCCGTCCTCAACGGTTTTTAGAAGCTGAAGGAACAAAGTGACAGTACCTCACACAAGATCTGGAATCAACTCAGGTCTCTCCTAAGCGAGCAAAAGTCTTTAAATGAAGACCATGTTTATTTACACGGATCCCTATACCAGCTCCCCTGACAATAAACTGTGCCTGATGGTGCCATCTCACCAGGAGTCATGCATCGCTGCTTTAGATAAAGTAAAACCTGCTTTGTAAGGAAAGTAGGATCACAGATGGGAGACTTTTGGGTGATGGTAGAAATTACCCTGCAAGAGAAACTCCTTGAGGAATGCTTGCCTTCCCTCACACGTAAACCCACAGCCAGTGGGTTTATGGGCCACAGGCAGGAAGTCACAGCCAGTGAATTCCATGATCCAATCATGTAGCCCAATTCCCATTCCACAGAGTGAAGTGACGGGCCAAGGTCACATGGCTACCAGTGACAGAGGGGTCAGGACCAGGTCTCAAGGCTCCTCCCAGGGCTTCTTCTACGAGCACTACCCCCCACCTGGAAGTACCAGACTCAAGGGCTCTACCTCCGACAGCATCTCATACTGGCCTCTTCTTCCAAGGGCAATGGTCAGTAAATCATAGACCACGGACGCACTCTGCAAACTGATGAGGCGGTCACTCTTGTGCTCAGGTATTCTGCTCAGCACAGCGTCCCGGTTGGCCTGAGAACATAGAAGAGAGAAGCAGATGGTGAGCCAGCCCAGGCACACAGCTATTATTTCGTGTAGAGAAGTCGGCTAGGCCCTGCAGCCCCCGACAGCTTGCCCAGGAGACAAGGGCAATAATGAATAAGGGGTTTGTCGCCTTGGGTTGTATATTCAAAATCCCCAGGGTACCTTAGCACACGGTATGGGGTATTATCCAAACACAAAGGCCTGGAGGTATGGTCCTGGAGGATGCTTGGTACCTGTCAGCAGGCATCTGCAGGAAGCTTTGGGAGCTTTCTCCTGGGCACGGGCTCACAGCCAGCCCTGCTGCAGACACAGCCAGTGCTCAGGCGGCAGTACAATCACCCATCAGGTGGGGCCCTGCTATGCCTCCCTTGAAGGTCCTGCTTCTGCTAAAGGTTGGGGGAGGGGGGAACAGCCCCAGCCCCACACTGCCATCATCAAATGGTGCCATTAAGGTCCCTGGGTCCTGTAGAGACACATCATCATACTTTCCCTCTATCACTAAAGCAACATTCAGATCCCTGTATGGCACTTTTGTCGGAACAGACAATAAAGACTAAGGCAATCTTGTTTAGGGAAGCACAAAACAGCTGTAGAAGAGAAAGCAAGAAGTAAACAGATTTTTTTGTTGTTGCTTTAAAGGATATTACCAGAGGACTCAAGAGAACACCTTGCCTATTGCAAGTCCCCACTCCTTGGCACAGAAATACAGCAGGCACATTCGAGCTTATTAATCTCATCTATCTGGAAATCAAATGCTCTTTACAACAACATGTTTTCATTACTTTTGAAATTTAATTTCTCTACAGACTCTCCAGACACATCAGATGTATTAGGGCTGCTAACCACTCTAACCATTTTGCTTTCCTCCCTACTAGGGAGTTCAGAATCAATTAAGTTAGATTTTGCCTCTCTTTTCTCCCCCTGCTAATTAGCAGAAGTCTCCAGATCTGTCCATCCCTAGGAGGACAGAAAGGGCGCCTTTGTTTTTCCTGTGAAAGTGGTATGTGAGGTACCAGGGTCGCTGGTCTAGGCAGGCTGACAGGCATCTGCCTGCCTGACGTGCCCACACACCTGCTCTCTCACTAATGAGATGAAAGGCCTTCTCCGTGTGTGAGTCCAAGGCACTCACTTTTAGCCACCCATCAGTACTTACTCACTTTAGAACTCCTTGCTCTTAAATGTCAAAGACAAATAAGAATATATAAGACAGGCCACTTCCTACCAAGTGAGTCATCTCTTATGGATACAAGCCTGCTTTTGAAGATTTCATTCTAAGGTTTTCTTGTTAGAAGCGACTTTGAGCCAACCAAAAGAAGCTCTAAGGGAAATAGGAGCCTGCTGTAAGGAGTTGCATTTTATTTACTTGCTATAAATGTTTCATATTTATTAAGACCAATGCCTGGAAGAGAACAAAACAAAATACTACTTAAAAGAGATTTTCAAATTATGCCAAGGATATTTTTAAAAAAATTTTTAGAGAAAGTCTATTGATGCCTTTTGATTAAAACCTCAAACAGATTCACAAATAACAAATACCCCAGAACACCATCGCAGAGGTAGTTGTGCAAATGTAGTTCTGATCACCCCTCTCTCCTGGGCAAGTTCATTTGAGGCAAGAAAGCCATACAATGCCAAACGAAATCATACACGTGGAGACACTATGGACAAATTGATGTTTTCTAAGCTAAAGTCAGAATCAATGAAGAATACAATTTTCTCAGACACTAAAAAAATCCCACAGGAATTCTCATTGAGAATTCTGAAATTGAGCATATGCGTTTTCTGTCTAAAAACTGAAAAATCAAGAAGTCAAGGAACATGAAAAAAAGGTTTCCAAAGGAAACTTAATTTAGACTTCTACCTACATAATTATGGAATGATTTATACAGAGAGCATAATCATTTTGGTTGGAAACCCAGACCTTCACATTTACTGATGATGTCATTGGATTTCACCATCCTCTGAAGAGAGTTTCCAGAAATTAAATACCACAGAGCCAAATCTGGTGGTCTCAAAGGGATCTCAATTTTGAGTATTATTAGTTTCTATCATTTCAATTAAGGAGAGGAAAGTTGGAGATGTCATTCCCAAGACATCTACACTTTGAATAGGCATTTTAGAGATGTGGCTATGTTTTCCAAGTTCTAAACTGGAACACAATATTTTCAATCAGAATTATCCAAGAAATCAAAAATGTGTGGTCGTCACTCTTTCAGAACTTCCCCAACATAACCAACCAAGTCTGCCCAAGGGAAACTAACTGCCAAGTTGCGAGGAGCCCAGCTTAGGATGAGGGAATGTGAGCTTGGGGGCCAACATAAGCTCCCCACCACCACCAAGAATGGATGACAAAGCGTGGTGAGACTGGCTCATTGGAAAAGCAGTCACTGAATGCCACGAAGTGCCAGCCTGCTCACATATATGCCTTCCCTGATTGTGCCAAGGCAGAGTAGAGAATGTAAATGACACCATTCTGAGTTAACAGCTGACAGTCAAGGAAAGATGAGTCAAGGGGGGCAACCTTACATCCCTCAGAGGAAGTAAGGCCAATGACGTCAAAGAGGTTCCAAATACAAAGCAGTGGTAACTCAAGCAGTCTCGCTCTTGTAAACATCTCTGGGCCACTTCACAGAACAAGAAAATCCAAAGCTCGAAATTAAGGCAAGAATACTAGCCTCCCTGGGATGCCTGGGTGGCTCAGTGGTTGAGCCTCTGCCTTCGGCTCAGGTCATGATCCTGGGGTCCTGGGATCAAGTCCCACAATCAGGCTTCCTGCAGGAAGCCTGCTTCTCCCTCTGCCTGTGTCTCTGTCTCTGTGACTCTCATGAATAAATAAATAAAATCTTTTTTTTTTAAAAAAGAAGAATGTTAGCCTCCCTGACTCGTCCCAGCCTCTCTTGATCCCTCCTCCACTCAGCACATGGACATTCTTCTTGTGCTCCATTTCTAAATGCTCTTCAGTTGGATGTATTTCCTGCCACTGCACGCTTGGGGAAGAAGGAAAATACCTTTCTTGCTTCAGTTACATTTTTTTTTCCCTCCTCCTTCTCCTCCCGCCTGATGGTGAGGTGGGAGATATGGGAGGAGGCAGTGTGATCTAGTAGGAACAACAGATCATTTCAGGATGCACTCATTCTGCTCCAGTCCTCAGGTTCCTCATCTATAGAACGAGGGAATGGGTGTTAGGATAGCTCAGTCCTTCCAAGTGCCAGGGGCCTCGCCATTCTGCTCAGGTGCTCAGCACACACCACCTACATGCCAAGGTGGTAACTACTGTGACACAGACTGCTTCCCACAGTTTCAAGCCAGGGCGGTCATGCCTAGCAATACGCAGAGCAGAAACCCAATAAATGGTGAGTAATGAAATTCTAGATGTAAACTTTGATATCCTGGCCAGACGTTAAGAAAACATTCCAAAGCAATCTGATGGCCTGGCAAAAACTCTCTCAAGACAGTGGAGCCAGGTAATAGGAGAGAGCTTTCGCAGTGCCCGGGGAGCAGGCGGGAGGCTGGTCCAAGAGGAGGAGGCTGCTTCATCAGGCTCTTGCTACAAAACCACCAGTGATTTATCCCTGAAGTCTCCCTCCCACCCAGGCAGGTGGAGAGGGCTCGAAAAGGTTATCCTCTGGGGGCTTCCTCCTCTTTCCAGGGTTCCTTTGGTGGTCCTTCTAGCTGCAGCTTACCTATCCACAACTGTGGTAGTGTTCCCTCAACACTCAGTGGGCAAGCGAATGAACTCAGATGCCTGTTTGCTGCTACCATAAGAAAAGCTCCATGTTCCAGGCTGAGATTAACCTATGAGGGATACTTCTAACTAGTCCAGGAATTAAGAAACAGCTCCCTCCTTAAACCCGTTGTTCCTCCCACCATTGACCTGGGGTATCCCCTCGAGAAAGTATTCTTCTCCCATGAAAAACGGCCACTGCACAGAGGGAGTCACCATATTGAAGACAGGACTGTAGGAACGGGCAAAAGAAAAATGTAAAAGGACAGTCTACTTACCATTGATTCACTAATCAGCAGTAACAACAGGGCTTCTTCAGTATTTTCTTGAGGACAAAAAATGCTGTGTGAAGAAAATCAAATTTTATATATGGCAATTCAAAATAATATAAAATGCATGATAATGGACAGCACTGAACATTAAAATCTTCTGGATTTTTATGCAGGAGCCACAAAAATACTGTCTCATTTGGACACTTGAATTAATTTGCTATGTTTGTGGTAATCTACAGAATTTATACATTCTAACTGTGCATTTTAATAGCAGGCAGCAGAGCGAAATAAAGCTATAAAAACCACATTAAAAGCCCAAATAATATACACACCTATTATAGAGGCAGAAATTTAGATTGCTACAAACTGCCATTATCTCAATGATAAAGCTTTCTCCTAAACCCATTATGGGGGCATCGTGTAGATAATTCACTAAGCAGTACTCTTCTTACCTCTTACTTGCTAACTGCCATACCTCATATTGTCCTTACGGAATAAGAGATTGGAAGCAATTTTAGAGTTTGAATCATTTCTAGAATACTATAAGAACTTGGCAAGCCACCTTAATTAAACACACATGTTCTATTATAGGGTGGTATGCAAGAGCTAGCTGTCTTATTAATCTATTTTACTGAAGTTGGCCGAGCTCTAACATCTGGGATTAAAAGAAAAAGCTTTTAAGCTCAATGTTGCTCAAGATTAGAGAACAAAAAAAAAAGTCAAACATAACCCCAATCTCCATCCTGTATAGCCTATTTTTTTGTGTGTGTGTGCTTTGAACATTTTTAGAGACTTGCAGCATTTTTTCCTGTTCCAAAAAGCTCTTGAATCCTTTGAGTAGAATTCAGAGTGTTATCACCATTTGAGCCAAACTTGATTCTTTTTTTCATGGAATGGAAGAAGAGTGCAATAAAAATGATCTTGGTTAAAAAAAAAATACAAACTCCTGGATGTTTTGGAGATTATTAAGTAAAGACTAAACTTACATCTTCCCAGCAGTGACATCACAATCATTTAATTTAAGAGATGGGATGATTTGCCCCCACCTCAAAATGGCAAAAAAAGAAAAAAAAAAAGGCTTCCATATCATCCACAGCATCATAAATACTTGGTCTCTTTGAAGTGCTGGCAACTTTTGTATGGCATCAAAGGACTGTGAAGAGAAAGACAGAAAAAGCACAGGGCCTAGTTCTCTTTTTACAACTCTGACGTCACTAGAGGTAAGGAAACCACCTGTGGAATGGTTCCCATTGCTCTTGCAGGGCTGCAATTTGATGAAAGGCTGACCTAGAAATGAGGAGCAAGATTCTAGGATTTGCAGTGAACTTCTTTAAACAGATAGCTTGAGAGGAGCTGGGTTTTTCAAAGACAGAACTCTTCTTTCCCCTTAAATTCAGAAATAGAGTCTACAGCCTTTCAATAAAGAGTACTCTCGTGTGAATGTGTGTGTGTTGGGGGGGGAGGGTCCACTCAGCAATCATTTCCTGATATTCTGGCCTTTGCTTACATACAATTGAGACCTTACAAATAAAGCAGTAACATTAACCTTTTTTTTTTCATGGCTAGCTAGTTCTGCATTGTCCAGACTAATTGAAGAGAAGAGAGAGCCCATGCTAATTGTGACTTAACACCAGCCAATTCAGTCCATGGATAATCCCCAAATTCCATCTGAGCCATCTAGCCTGCTTAAATGCTAAGTTGTGTTATTTTTACCAGAGCTGCTAACAAGTAGCACATTAACTGATTCTAATTCCACTTCCTCTACCCTTCCTTTTGAGGCAGGTGAGATGGGTATTCTCAAGCACTGCAAGCTCTCAGAGCTGGCAGAAAGAAGTGGGGGGGGGGGAGGGGAGGGGTAGGAAGGGTAGTTTTAAGAGACATGCTGAAAAACTAAACCCCAGAGTGCCTCCTTCCAATGCTCGTGGATTCTCCAGACCCACTTCTGGCCATTCCTCCCCTGTTTTCCATTGAAGGAGCTCAGGGTGGTGGGGGTGCCAAAACTGTTTTTCTTTTGCGACAATCTCCTCTAGGGGCCCAAGAGCCTCAGGGAAGATCTTGGGGTACCCAGGCCTCAACCCTGTGAAGTGGAAAAACTGGGGTCCTAGATCCACAGCACACCAAATAAGATGGAATGGCTACATTCTCAGCCCAGCCACCCGACTAACTCATGGGCTGACCTTTAGGCAAGTTGCTTGTTTTCTTATTTTGGATGAACTGATTCATTGTCTGACTCTATACAATGGGAACAAGGGCAAGAATCTTCAAATATAAACAGTGATCATGACCTTGCCCAGGCTGCCAGATAACTCCCCTTTCTTAAAATTTTCCCAGCTGGATGAAAGAGGTCTACATGGTAGAAACAATCCTACAAAAGAAATTAATCCAATTTTATCCAACTGCAGGTTATCTTTCTGTCATCGTTAGCTATTACACAGCCAATATCGAGTTGGATGTCTGGAAGTCAATGGCACCATCCAGACATCAGTGCAGACTCTAGTTAGATCCAAGGAGGGCCCCAAACACCTCCAACCCACAAGCAAGTTATGTGTAAGTGACAACAGCAACCCTAAGGCTAAGCAATGGTCTCTTCAGGTTCTTAAAGACTTATTTATTTTAAGAGAGAGAGAGAGAGCAGGAGTGGGGAAAGGGGAAGAAGCAGAGAGAGAGAAAGAATCTCCAGCAGATGCTCCCCAAGTGTGACGCCCCAATGCAGGAGCTCGATCCCATGACCTGTGAGATCACAACCTGAGCTGAAATCAAGAGCTAGATGCTCAATCAGCTAAGCCTTTGCCTAGGCACCCCTGCCTTTCCAGTTTTACTATGCCTTGTCTGGGTGTGATACCACTAGAGAATTCCCAGAGATCCAGTCTCTGAACCACAGCCGATGGACAAGAACTAAAGAATCAAAGCCAACAGGGCAGCCCAGGTGGCTCAGTGGTTTAGCGTCACCTTCAGTACCGGGTGTGATCCTGGAGACCCAGGATCGAGACCCAGGATTGAGTCCCGCATCGGGCTTCCTGCATGGAGCCTGCTTCTCCCTCTGCCTGTGTCTCTGCCTCTCTCTCTGTGTGTCTCATGAGTAAATAAATAAAATTTTGAAGAAAAAAAAAAAAAAAAGAACCAAAGCCAACAATGGCTGCAGCTCTGCCCCACCCCCAGGTCACCCTGTGAAACATGCAGAGGCAGAGAAGGTTTGTGTGGAAGGATAAGGGTTCCAAGAAAGGAAAAGGACTTAAATCAGTCATTAGGAGTACCTGTTGATTATGAGGGATCAGCTAACCCAATCTGAGGATCACTCAGGCACAAAATTCCATACAGGTCAACACACCCTCAGGACATGAGGGTCTTTCATTCAGATCAAGTACACTGAACAGTGTTTATTTCTTGATCAAGGTACCAATTACGTGAATGTGTTCACTTGGTAAAAATTCATCAAGTGTTACACTTTTGGTTTGTGTATTTCTCTCAATATGTGCTATGTGTCAATAAAAAGCTTACCTAAAAAATAAATAAGCAGGGGCGCCTCAGTGGCACAGTTAGTTAACTGTCTGACTCTTGTTTCTGGTCATGTCATGATCTCAGGGTCTGGAGATTGAGCCCCAAGCCTGGCTCTGTGCTCAGCATGGAGTCTGCTTGAGATTCTCTCCCTCTGACCCTCTCCTTTCTCTCTCTCTCAAATAAATAAATAAATCACACATATATATATATATATATATATATATATATATATATATATATGCAAAGGTCAAAGAATTCTTCACAGAAAGACCTAGAAGGAAGGAAGTAAAGAGGCCCACGGCATGTGACTCCTTCTCTCTTTCCTATCTAGGATTGTCAACATTTGATTTTCTTTCAAAGTTCAAGATGGGGAGAGAATGAGCATCCTGTTTCCACTTCAGGTCCAGGATACAATGAGAAGGAGTAGAGTTTTCTGACAGAGTTCGTTTTTCTGTTATATTCCATTATGACCAGCTATTCTGAATGGTCCTTGTGATCTGCTGGAGCTGGAAGGCTCTGGGCTTTCTAAAGTCTACTGTGTGCTTGTATTTCTCATAAGAGATCAAGGAAGGGAAAGTGTTTGGGACTACTGGCTAAGATGGGGTTTCATTCTCATCTGTGGATTCCCTTTTTCACCTGCCAAGCCATATAATTGAACTGGTGATAACATCCTTTTTGACATAGAGTTGACTAATCAGATAGTCCTGGTCATCAGGGAGCCCCAAGACAAGTATAATCCCAGCAGGCTTTCTGTCTTTACTAAAAAACTAGAAGTATCATTGTGAACTCACAAAACGAGAAAGCTAAAAACTGATGGTGATAACAGAAAGAATAAGGATCAATGGGGAAATTAAGGAAATAGTGAATTAAAAAAATGAACAAAACCAAAAGTTGGTTCTTCAAAAAGATCAATGAAATTTGACAAAAGTTGGCTTAGCATCTGAAAATCAATTAACATAATACATTAAATCAACAGGATAAAGGACAAAATGTACACGATTACTGATAGATGCAGAAAAAGCATTTGACAGAATTAAATACCCTCTCAAAGATAAAAAGAATTCAACAAAATAGTGATAGAAAGGAATGTTCTCAACCTGATAAAAGGTATTTATGAAAACCCGTAGCTAATTTCACACTTAATGGTGAAAGACTGGACACTTTTCCCCCTCGTAACATCAGGTATCAAGTGGTATCAAGGATATCCACTAAGCTTGCCACTTCTATTCAACATTGTGCTGGAGGTTCTAGCCAAAGCAATTAGGGAAGAAAATGAAATAAGAGGTTAGAAAAGAAAAAGTAAGACTACACTTATTTACAGATGACTTGGGGGCTTGATCTGGTGGAAAATCCTAAGGAATCTAAAACACTATTTGAACTAATGAACAAATTCAGCAAGACTGCAGTATACAAGATCAATATAGAAAATCAATTGTATTTCTCTATACTTACAATGAACAAACTAAAAATGAAATTAAGAAAATAATTCCACTTATGATAGCATCCAAAAGAATAGCATAAAACACAGTAAGTTTCACAAAGTAAGTGTAAAACTTATACTTTGAAAACAACAAATAATTGTTGGAAGAAACTAAATTATATCAAAACAAATGAAAAGCATCCCATATTCGTGGATCAGAAGACTTAATATTGTTAAGATGGCAATACTCCTCCAAATTGATCTATAGATTTAATGCAATTCCTATCAAAATCCTAGCTGCCTTTTCTTTCTTTCTTTTTTTTTTGCCAGAAATGGACAAACTGATACTAAAATTCATATGAAAATGCAAGGGATTGGCAGATGGGGGGGTGGGTGACAGCTCAGGGATGCTAGATTTCTTTCCAGGGTTATAAAAATGTTCTAAAGTTGGTTATGGTGATGGAAGCACAACTAAGCCCCTGAACTGTATTTTTTTTTTTTTTAGGTTTTTAAATTTATTTACATGATCTCTATATCCCATGTGGGGCTTGAACTCATGACCCAAAGACTGAGGCACATGCTTTTGACTGAGCCAGCCAGGTGCCAGGTGCCCCCTGAACTGTATACTTTAAATGAGTGAATTGTATAGCAGGTGAATCATAGCTCAATAACATGGTTAAAAAAAAATGATTGCATCTGTGTGGAATGAAATTGTGACTCAGCACCCAGTCCTGTTATGGGAATCTCCCTTTAACTAGTAACTGCACTTTCTAGATCTGCATATTGCCTCCATAATTCTCCTTGGATAGGAGAAAGTTGATGTCAGAAGAGTGACAAAGTCTCAGTGGTTCACCAGATAAAGGAGAAGTGGCCAACATTATGAGCTTTTCTGCCTTCAAGAGGTAAGGCCACATTGGAATAACACCCAAAGAGACACAGAGCTCTACCCACATGTCCAGCTTGATTAGGGAAGGGAACAAGAGCTGAGTTTCTCAATATACCTGGCGCCTTATATACCTGTCTATTAAGCAGCATAAAAAGCAGGTGGAAAAAAAAAATCTCAGGCCTATTTTTAGGATTTAAATTTCACTTTAAAAATGAGCCCCAAACCTGCTACTAAATAGTTCATAATGAGGGGTCAGCATTTTTAAAGTGAGAGTTCAGGATGTGCTAGAACAGATGTTCTGTGAATCCAGATAAGGACTAAGAAGTAAACACAGGCTGTGAATTCAGCAAACTCATCGTCAACAAGGCCATAAAAAAGGGGGATTAAGTTAAAAGGCGGATTAAACACAAACTAAAATAAGCCTAGGGAAAAAGTTAAGAATATGCTCATTTGTCTGAATCCATAGGAGAAATGGGGTCTGAACAAGAGGAGGATGAGGGAGAGAAATGCTAGGGTCAACATAAGGGGATTAAGAGGAGCCTGCCTGCTGGAGAAGTGCTGCCCCCTTGGAAAATGGGACAATCATTTACAGAAGTCACACACCCAGTCAGCATCTAGTCACCACCACCCCTCCCCGTAGATCTAACAGCACTTGCTCTGGGGCCCCAGAAACAGCAGCCTGCAGTCTCTCTCCCATTTTTCCAATTTGACAACCATCAAGGAAAGTTTCCATATTTATTCATACATGCCTCCTTCCCCTCATGGAGAGATTCTGAAGAGCCATCATGCCTCGTCCTTGCAGGAACTGGCAAAGATATTAGAGTGAGGCTTGAAGATGAGGAATCAAGAGTGAGTCAATAATTTCTGGTCTCCTGGCTCTCCTCATGGTCTCTGCCTGCCATCCCCCAGGGCCCCCAACCTGGGGAAGGCCCATGCTGAGGATCTAGTGGTTCCCTAGCTCACCTTCCTCCAGGTTGGTCAAGTCTTAGATTTAAAACTTAAAAAAATTAAGAAGTTCTAAAAAGACATCATCTTCCAATCACAAATTATTTAATCTTCCTTCTTCTTATGGCTAATTCAGTTGAAGACTAATTTTTAAACAAAAGGATCAACGACTCGATGAAAAAAAGAAGGTTAAGTCCAACTTATAAACAGCATTGTCAATGATTGCTGGCTAATGCTGGGGTTCTTATAACAAACAGAATGAGAATCCCAAAGACCAATGGTGATGGCCGAGAATGGTAGCCAAGCACTAAGATGAAAGAAACTTTCCTACTTACAGTGTGCCCACTGGTGCATAGATATTCACAGACATTATGAAAAATAATGAGGTATGTCCATCAAACTGGCAAATGAGACCTGTTTTGTTCCTCTTTCAGCAGAAGAATCTGCCCTTGAACATCTACTCATCTTTGAGTTTTCCCAAAGCTTCCCTCCCATCCCCCAACCCACAAGTGAGGACACCAACTGTCATACTTCTCTCCTGAGTAGATTCGAGCTTTCCGAGTGAGGGTGTAGGTTTTTGTGTTTGCTCCTTTCCGGAGAGGATCATCCAGAGGTGACTGGCAGGGTGGATCCTCCAGAGGGTTCCAGTAGCTCTGTTCACACATACCCCGCAACAAGATCTCCGCCAATTGCCTGGCTATTGTCTGGGAACACAAAAGAGCAAAGGCACAGCCATGAATTTATTTTGTATCATTCATTCACTCATTCGCTCATTCAGTAAATATTTTTCAGTCATTGCTTTGTGCAAGTCACTATTCCAGGACTCATGGCTAAACGTTTTTACTTCTCTGATGAAAATTGTATCAGTTGATGGCAAAAAAGAAAAGGAAAGAAAATACACTAAGGTATTTGGACCATCTTAAAAGACAAGCCTATACCCTTCGCATGCCACCCTACCTCTGTGGCACTCTAAAGCGCTCAACGGGTTTTATGCCTGAAGCTACAGAAACTTTAGTTAAGCTCCTTCCCGAAAGTTCTTATAATAGGTGAACTGCAAATATTTTTTGTCACCTCCCAACAGATCCCTGCTAAAACCCAAACTTGGGAAAAAGCCGGTGCTCAACCTAGATGATGTCATTCTTGGGGGAAAAAAATCTCTTCATTGCTGATAAGATGGTATCCAGGACAGATTTTTGGAATGCCTTTCCTCTTTGAAGTGCCAAGGGCCAGTACCACAGTGGCCCCATTCTGGGACTCAGCACCTGAATGTCTGCTCCAGTTACACCCTGGGCCTCCCAGCCCAGAGGCTATACTGCTGGCCTATGCAAAAGAGAAAGCAAGGTGGCGAGTGAGGTGACTGATCAAGAAAGACCTCTTTTCAAAGCTGGTTAGGTATCTCTTTTTCTTTGCTGTGAAAACCCAGACCATATCCGGGTCTTGTCATCCTAAGTAAGACCCAGATTACTATGCTCTTCAAACTCTATAGTAGAACAGGATGCTGGATGATGAATGGGAGGAGGGGGGATGTGGCACCTACTAAGAAATATTTTGTTAGCTGATGCGTATCAGTTCACTTACCTCGTAATCTTCCACTGGTAAAGAAGAGGAAGAATAAAAACAAACAAAAAAACCCCCACAAAATCCCCCTGAAAACAGAAGCAGGGCACCTCGGGGGGTAGGGGTAGGGGGTGGTCCATGCTACCCCACAATCAGCCAAAGGTGGCAAAATAAAACTTCAACCATCGAGTTTTTCCACAAAGTTTTCACTTTCTTTGGAAACATGCAGGCAAAGAATGCTTATCTTCCCTGAGAGTGAGACTTTTAAATAAATATGTTCCAGAAGAAACTTTGCTGGGTTTTCATCCATGTGAAATCTCCTAAAACACCACAAGGAAACTTAAATGCAACCAAATCACTAGCTTAGTGGCTTCTGATAACCACTGGGTAAAGGCAAATTTTCTTGATTATTCCCAAGCAAGACCCACTGTCTTTAATGTCTATAAAAATGAGAAATTAAATGCATTCCTATCATCCCCAACTGAGCCATCTGTAAAGATCTCATAAGAACACAATTTTCAGGACCTAAACAGTTCCTGAACTGTTTTCTTAAGCCCTCCATTACAGTTTCATTTCGATCTTCCTGCAGTCATATAAGCTAATGACTTCTGCTGGAAGCATCGACTGGCAAAAATAGCCTCCACTCACCATAGGGAAAAAAAAAAAGTCAAAGGAAAAAGAAATGAACAAGGAACTTCATTTTCTGGATATACCTGCCATGGAGGGATTCTAAAGTTATAAAAATCTCTACCCTCCACAGTTTGCTTGTCCACTACAAGATAGCTTGTGCTAAGATCTTACTTTACCTCCAAGTACTAACCTTCCAGAGAGACTTTGAAAATGAGGTTTAGATGTGATTGCATATTTTAAATGTATCACTTCACCACTGCACTGACGATCAGGAAAGATGTCTGCTTGTGTGCACTGACAGCTCAAACGGAAGTTCAGAACGGGAGATAAATATGAGAAATGACCAGCAGATCACCAATATCGATCAGACCTTTTACTTTTCTATACTTGGATTTCATTTACTTGCAGTGAAATGCTTATAAATTGTTGGTAGCTATCAAATAAAGTCAGAAGGAAAGAAAGGAAAGGAAGGGAGCCAGAAAGAAAGAAGTCAAACTTTTATGTATAAACTTGGTCATTAAATCCGTTTTAGGAATGCCTGGGTGGCTCAGAGGTTGAGCATTTGCCTTTGGCTTAGGGCATGATGCTGGAGTCCCAGGATCGAGTCCTGCATTGGGCTTCCTGCATGGAGCCTGTTTCTCCCTCTGCCTAGGTCTCTGCACTCCCCCACACCTCCCCCCTGTGTGTCTCTCATGAATAAACAAATAAAATCTTTTAAAAAAAATTCATTTCGTATGTATTTTTTTAATTGTGGCAAAAATCATGTAACATTAAAACTCACCATTTTAACCATTTTAGTGTCTGAGCTAATGGTGCTTAGTCCATTTACAGTGCTATGCAACCATCACCTCTCTGGTTGCAGAATAACACTTCCAGAGGCAACCCTGCACCCTTGTAGTGGTTACTTCCCATTCCCTCCTCCCAGCCTCCAGGAATAATAAGCCTGCTTTGAGGAGATCTGCCTGCTGGGGACATATCATGTAAATGGAATCATGTAACATGGGGCCTTTTGGGTCTGGCTTTTTCACTCAGCATCATTTTCAAGGATCACTCATGGCGTAGCCTGGGTCAGTGCCACATTCCTTTTTGTGGCTGAATAATACTCTGTTGTGTGGACATACCACATTTTGTTTATCTAGTCATCAACTGATAGAATTCAGATGGTTTCTAGCTTCTGGCTAGCATAAACAGTGCTGCTACGAACATTCACGTGCAAGTTTCTGTTGGAACACCTGCTTTCAGTTCTTCGAAGTATTTATCTAAGAACAGGGTTGCTGTAAATGTATTTGTAAATCCTTCTCGGCTATGGTTGCACCCCAGATGGAGTTTACAAAGCAACTTTTCCATCTCACAGGAGTGACATAAATTTGCAAAATCAGCTAATTTTAAGGAATCATATAGTTACGAGCTGCATTAACTGGACAAGCTTTGAAGATGGCCACTGTAGACCAAGAAACCAGTAAATAAGACCCACAAAGTACTTCTCAATAGGGAAGGCAAAGAATGCCTCAAGGAAATGAGAAACTAAGGTTTTCGGGAGCTGTCCCAAACCTACTTCCTTGGCATTTCTGAGGTCAAGGACCGGGATGAGCATTTGTTCACAGTTCCTCAGATAATTCTGATGCACGCCATTGGTTGAGCACTCAAGGAACTGGAAGCAGTTCGACTTTGTTACTTGAGGCTCATCAGCCAAGGCCAAAAGCTAAATACCTACTTGCACCTCAAGTCCAACACAGAGCAAAAGTGACCCCCCCCCACATGTCACCACTAAACAGTTTACAGCTGAAAATGCCCAGGGGCCGCTCTGGTCTACCCAGACTTCTCTAGAAGCCTCTTCACTCTTCTCAAAAAAAGTAAAAAATGCTTGAAGAAACCTCTCTCCACTCCTGACGTGTCTTTATTCAGAATCCCACCTCATAGGATTTTTAGAAGTTAAAGTACATTGATTTGAATATCATAAACCTAAGGCAATCATGGAAGATATTCTTGAATTCTGTGAGGAATAACACTGACGTAAGCAGCTGGCATATGCCTACAGCGTATTCGGATGCACTCACACCTTCTAGTGGGGGAGAAACCATTAATCTCCTTCATAAAATATATATGCTTTTGAGACAACAATATGAACAAATGCTCCATACTTAAGCAATTTTGGAAGATTGGCTTTTTAATCAGCTTTTAAAACAATTATAAGAACACTTGCCAATACAACCAGTTACTTTATTGTGCTTCTAAATCTTAAAAGAAACTGTTCATGCTGACCAGGCAAGAAGCTTTATGAAATGTTGGGAGTAGGTCAATTTGAGAGAAAAGACACTTGTCAACAATTTTTATCCATATTTTTTCAGGGTTTTTTTTTTCCTTAAAGAACTCTACAAATTGAAATATCTGGGTTGAACCTCTTAAGGCACCCCCAAAATCACATCAATATATAAATAAATACCAAAGACCAAGTGAGGTCTTGGTGGCGGGGGTATGTATAAAGTTTCTCATCTTGTCTCACCCCTAATTCTAGGAAAGCCTACTGCTTAGCCATCTGGGTCCACAAGTTGGATATCTGCATCCTAAAACCCTGGAGACACCAAAATAAAGATACAGCCTCACTTCCCATGACAGGAGTCACTGAGCCTTGCCCAACTGAAAATGCTCCCGTATATTTTAAGGGGTCGTGACAATGGGAGGACAGTGGTACACTGTAACAAGACAAGAGTGGAATCTTATATGGGGTTGTTATGTCAGTTGTGAAAGGGGTATTTGCTTATTAGTCTCCGGTAAACACCAGGCCTTCACCCAGATATGGAGGTATCATTAATAATCCTCCCAGGCAGGAAAGTTTAAGGATTCAGAGGAAGAGAGAGAACTTATGCCAACAAGACAGTCAAATTGCTGATTTGATGCTGATGAACAAGTTTATTTAACTAGCTTTTGTATTTCTCCTCAAAGTTTTAGCACCAATGCAATTAGTCGAACAACCAGGTACTCTTCAGGATCCAATCTGCTTTGCTCAGGCTGGGTTTTGGTATGAAATCATTAACATACAACCAACCCCTTGACCACAATGGCATCAGGCAAGGCTTATATTCTCCCTGCCTTACAGGATGCACATGTTCTGTTTCAGGAGGTAGCACTACCAAAGTACACAAAAAGATGCTCAATGTCATTAGCCATCAGGGAAATGTAAATTAAAAACCACAATGAGACAGCACTTCATACATACTAGGATGCCCACGACTAAAAAAGACAGACAATAACAAGTGCTGTCAAGGATATGGAGAAATCGGAGTCCTCACAACGGCTGCTGGGAATATAAAATGGTGTAGCTGCTTTGGAAAATTGTCTGGCAATTGCTCCAAATGTTAAACGTGGAGTCACCATGGGATCCAGCAATTCCACTCCTAGGCACCTGAACACACCCATGTCCACCTAAAAAGTTGTGTAAGAATGTCCACAGAGGGATTACCCATAATAGTCAACACAGGGAAACAATCCAAATGTCCATCAACAGATGAACAGACACACAGAATGTCTTATATCCACGCAGTGGAATAGTATTTGGTCACAAAAAGGAGCGAAGTGCAGATCCATGCTACAGCATGGCTGAACCCTGAGATACCATGCTACGTAAAGCAGGCCAGTCACAAAGAAGACCACCTAGTATGCAATTCCATTAACATGAAATTTACAAAACAGACAAATCCATAAAAGCAAAAAATAAAACAGTGGTTGCCAGAGGCTAGGGGGGAAAAGAGAGAATGCGGATTGACGGCTGATAGGCACAGGGGTTCTTTGGGGGGTGAGAATGTCCTGAAATTAAATATTAGTGATAGCTAAACACTCTTGTGAGTACACTAAGATCAGCTGACTTTAAATGGGTGAACTGTGTGATGTGGAAATTACATCTCTCACTAAAGTGTGTGTGTGTGTGTGTGTGTATATTATATATATATATATACTTCATATATATATGGAGGGGAGGGGACAGGCAGGGAGAGGAAGTGAGGAGATAACACCCGAGGTGCCCTTCTGGCCTCAATCAAATCACCCATCGCACTCACCATTCGCAGGTTTTGAGTTGTTCTCGTTTCTACTGCTCTGAGGATCTCTCTAAATCTCCCGACGCCTCTTGTCAAGTTCCTGCGTGCACACAGAATTTGACAGGGTTTCCATCTGGCGTGCATTAATATTAAATATTTTATACACATATTTCAATGCATTTTGCCTACATAAAAGCTGTTGGCTAGATTTTAAGCAAACAATTAGTCTGCATATGCCTGTCCATCTTTGTTCGACTCTGAAAAATTTGGCCTGGTCTTTTGTGCTCCCACAATCAAATTTTCTCAGAGAGAAAAAAAAAAATCAGTTCTGAGGCAAAAAGGAAAAAAAAAAAAAAGAATGAATGAATGAATGAGTGGAAGGAAGGAAGAAAAAATATGGAAAATATCTTGTAAAGTTTATCTTCGACCTCACAAGGGTTCCATAGTTTTCCTGCTTTCCTGATGATGCTAAATCTCTTTTCACTTAAAAGGTGGGTGGCAAGAGGGTTATAGGAATAGCGACATGGCACTAAATGCGGTGTGGTATAGGGTTCCTATAACTCGCCATCTTTATGGGCAGGACAAAGAGAACAGGTATGAAAACTGAGGGGCTCAACCAAGCAATCACTCTGCATCTTTGAAACATGAGTCACTGTCTCCAAAAGCCACCGAGCTGACCCTCCTCCTCCCAAATCTGCATCAACAAGAAGCAAATGGCCAAAGGCCCCTTCTGAGAGAGATCGAATGCATGAGAACTAGAAGATTGAGCTTCCCCACGAGGATCAGAACACATCTCATCTCACCACCCACACCTCACCAGGTCACGTTTGGTGACACTTTGCACTAAAGGACAGATCATTCTATAGCGACATCCTGGTCACTATATCCAGGCCCCCACTTGTCCTCCCTGAAAGCCGTGCCCAGCCTGTTCAGCCAAGAAGGCTTCCTAGCCAGGCCCTTTACATTGAGCGCTCCACCACCTATGACATAACTCGGTGATATTTATAACTTGCTCATTAGGACACATCTCATCTTTCCAAAAAGCCGCAGAACAGGTCAGCCGGTGCAGACCTGTCAGCCAGCCTCTGCGGGCTGTGGCAGATGCTCTAGGTATTTGGCTCTCTTCTTGGATGACATTTTAAATCGTGCAAAGCTATTTAATCAAATTGAATATGGGCTCTGCATGCTGCAGGCCCTCACAAGGGCTATTAATTTGTATCTTATACCTACCCATCATCCTAGGACTCTCATTCACAAGAACAGCAGCCCCGGAACTTTAAGACAATAGTTTATTGGCATGAGTACATAAACTCCCGGATTCCTATCACCCACACATATCAGATGGTATCAGATCAGAAGCTTCAGGGTGGCATAAAAAAGAGACGCTAGTGCTCAGGACTCCAAGCAGTGCTGAAGGAACTCTAACAGAGACATGAATGAAAATCAGGTAATGGGCCCCAGGATATGCAATCTAGTCTGCTTTCCCCTTCGTTTGTTTTTATGGGATCCGTGTTCACAGGCAACAAAGTACATTTGCTTTGGACTGAAGCTCAGTGCTCTTAAGTAACAGGGGGAAGCAAACAGCTATAACTAACCAGGGATGGGCATGGACACAGCGTTCGAATTTTTTGCCCCAGAATCTCAGACTAAGCTCCTACTGCGTGCACAAGGGAGAGCAGTTGGACTGTGTGACATAAGGGCGGGGCTGAGGGGACGTAATTGGAGACCCATGCTCACAGGGCTGTTTTCCCAGGGTGGCAAGGAGCTCTGAAAAGGCAGCATCGAATCTATATACGATAAGCCAGGGCACCCTCCAAGATAGGAACTGGGCATTGGGACCGTCTCTCTTCGCCTTCCTGACAGAATGAGATACTTATCCAGTTAGAGAAGCACCGAATTTTCTAGCTAGCCGCAAGACAACCCAATCTAGTCCACTGTGACACAGAAGCGAAATGGCTTGCTCAGCTTCACGAACCCAGTGAGAGAGTGAGCTGGAAGCTTTCTATTAGATTCTATCACCTTCCTGGGCAAAAGAAATATCAGCTGTAAGACAGAGGAGGAGCCGCTCTGGAAGGAAAGAACAAAAATACCAAGAGGAGAGCTCAGGCCTGCGGTCTTTATCATATATATGCAAATTACTTCATATATACATAATGCAAATTTTACACGTCCCGGTGATCACGGCTGATGAGATACTCCCAGGAAGTGGCTCAAAATCGGAAAGAAAATCCGATGGCGCAGGCGAAGCAGTCTGGTGACCGAGGTACTGCCCCGGGACCGCCGCCTTGAGGGAGGGAGGGAGGGAGGGAGGGAGGCTGGAGAGATTGGATTCTCCCGCGCGGGCCCGACGCCCCCTGCTGGAGGCCTGGGGGAAGTGCCCGGGACGTGGGGGGGGCTGCCTCTGGGGGCCTACTCCCAACGCAGGTAGCCTGGCCTTCAAGCAAATATAGTTTCTTTCAACTGTTCCCTGATTATTTCTGGAGAGAGCCTAGGATTCGGAATCAAATTCTCCCTCCGGCTCGGGAAGGTCCTGCTTGTAAACAAAGAATCCACAGTAACCCCCCAAAGACCTGACACCCCACTCAGCAAACGAATGCAGGCCCCCTCAAGGACAACCACGGATGGGTCTGACAGCAAGGAAGGAGGAGAAGGATTTTAAATATCAGAAGGGGAAGAAAGTTTCCCAAATGCAAAAAGTGTCTCATTCTCAGCGGCAACTCCTGCACCATTCAAACATTTTGTTTAATCTTATAATTTTATTCAACCAATCATTTCCACTATGACAGCCGGGGGAAAAGTTTTTTTTTTTTTTAAGCTAGATGGATAATGGTGATAGAAAGGAACAAGAAGGGTAAATTAACTTAAAAGAAATATATTCAAAGTGCTATGAAAGACTCCTATTTTGAGGGAAATAAAAGCCACATGATTGCTTTCATGTCTCTGAACTTTTAGTTTATTCTTTAAATGTTGAGCTCATTACATATCCAGAATGAACTGTCGCTTAAAAACTCCACTCAAAAATGAAGACAAGGGAGCCAAGGACTTTCCCTGGTCCTGAGGGTTTCCATAGACCCTTCGCATTAGGTCATTTATTCCATTTCAATATCCTTGACTGAGAGCGCGATGATGTCAGAATTCATTACGGCAAACTATTCTCAAAACGAGTGTTCCTGCCAGCTTCTGAGCAGCGGGCACTTTGGCAAGCTGTCAGAACTTGGGGTTCACCTCCCGCATCCTGCTTGGGTAAGCTTCCCGAGCCGAGTGTGTTTCCCTCCACGTGGAACAGTTCCCAACAGCTCAGCTATTACCAGGGAGAAAGGGCCTGCACGTCCCTTGAGCACCAGCTGCCGGTCCAGTCCATGAGCAACCACGACCCTGCTTGCACTTGCCAACAGCACTGTCTGTCCCCGACCCTGCAGGGGGACCCTGGGCCACTCCCACCACCTTGCTCGCATTCAAACCCTGGTAACCCATTGCCCTGTCCGGACAAGAAAGCCCACCCACTTTTCACGGGGACACATGCTACTCCTGGTGACCTACTTGCATTTTTTTCCCACCTCCTTTTTCTACCTGGTTTCATCCTCCTCCTCATTCCTTCCAGGTCTCATCTACTGGCCCTGAGGACATGGGGGTGGGGGTGGGGGATGGACTCGCTAGTGCTTGGCTTCCCTCTTGACCCCGTGGGCCCCATGGCAGCACTTCTGTAAGCTGGTCTCTGAAATCTGCACTCTCATGTACAAGCCCATGGCAGCGCCTGCCCTGTTGGCTGTGCCTCTGTGCCACCAAACCAAGGGGGAGCTCTCTGGGGAAGGAAGTCAGGCCTCTAAAATCAAAACCAAAATGGAAAACCAGGGCTGGGAGAAACTCGGAGACTTTGAGAAACATTTCACCTCGTGATGGGCGGCCACTCAACAGCAAGCTCAATACACTTTTTTTGTTGTTGTTATTTCTCCTTTCATTTCTTGAGACTAAGTGGAGGAGAGACAACTCTTCTCCTTAACACAGGCTTCCAAATTATTTTCTGACCTTGGAGTGTGGCTCAGGCCACCAAAGCACTTCAATTCCATAGCAACTGTCACTGTCATGCAAACTCAAAGTTCTGGGGCAAATAGAATACTTTTTTATGCTGTTTAGTCAAACTCCTGGATAGTAAGGACAAGGTATTTTTGTCCTTCTCTGTGATCAACTACAGAACAAGTCGACACTCATAGATCTCTCAGCGACTAGAAATAGTGGCTCTTCCCAGGTCCTTTCTTACCAAGTGGCACCCCTGAAGCTCTTAAGCAGCAGGTCATGTCAACAGTGACTAAGTACTATTGTACATTGGGTTCCAGGCTCATCCCTGGGGACACACTGGTGAGCAAGGGACATCATCCATCCCTGGGGACACACTGGTGAGCAAGGGACACCATCCAACCTCAGGGAGTCGAGAGGCCTCCACATCCCCCATAAGAACGCAGGTACCATGTTTGCTTGTTGACATACACCAAACCCCTCAAACAGAGCCTGGCATACAGCAAGTGCTCAGTAAGTACTTTTTGAATGAATTTCAGATCGACTGTGAGTAGGAGACACCAAGACCACAAGGGGGGATACATTTTCTTCCTGTTCCTTGTCCCCTTTTTTCTTACTGCACTGGATTGGCAGGCAGCCCAGCAAAGCACCCTCTTAAACAGAATATGTCCCATACGCCGTTGGTGGCCTTGCAGCATGGGTGTCTGTGGCAGCACTGACATACATGTCTGGACCGAGTGACGCAGCTGGGCATGCCTGGCCTGACAGCTTTCAGAGGACTGCATGGATAAGAAAGATTTTTGAGGACCTCTTTAGAAAGCGTCCAGACATTTCTGGGCAGCTTTCCTGCCCATGTGCCTTTACATATGCCCCTCTGTCAGAAGTGGCCTCGGAACCCTTAGTTACCCTTCCAGGCCCAGATCTAAGGCCACCATTGGGAGCTATTTCCCCAGCTTCCTGTTTCCTGGGTGCTCCCAACAAGCATGCACACATTTTGGGCACAGAGAGCACTCAACACACTGATTTTCATTCTCATTTACATCTATTGGCCCACCAAACTGTGATCATCTTAGAAGCAACAGTCCT